TAATAATAACTTTTATTATAGCTTTTTATAGGCCAGGCACTGGTATAAATGATTGCATGTATTTGCATGTATTGAGTCAGATTCTCTATTACCCCTAGTTTATTGGTAGGAGGTCAGTGTGACTCAGCAGTTGTATCTTGCCCGTGTTCACTATTTGTGAAGAGCAGAGCTCCAATTTGAACATAGCCTATGCAGCTCTAGACCCATGCTCTTAAGTACAATGCTGACCTTCTTATAGTAAAGCAAAATGTGAAAATTATAATTATGTGACACGAAATGCAAAACCACTCCATAAGTCCCAATCTTTCTTGTCCAGGAATACTTCTAAAAATTGCCTTTAGTTTCTTAATTTATATGAAGTCCCAGTTTAAACTATGACCCACGGAGATATCCAAAGCTATTTCTGAACTGTAGTGACTCACATGATACGCCGTAGTTCTTTCTTTTGTGTTCTCTGTGACTTCATTAAAGTGAAGGACCTGGAAGAGATATGAAGTGGGATAAGGCAATTTTATTCAGAAGATCTGTTTAAATCAGTGCTCACTCAATTATGGGAATTTCTGCTCAGCCCCTGTGCTACCCATCAGGCCCTGTGCTACCCATGAGCCCCTGTGCCACCCATCAGCCCCTGTGCTACCCATTAGGCCACTGGATCTGGTGCCATCTGCATGCTCGCTGACACAGTGATGGAGAGCAACGTTGAGATAAGTCAAGGTAACAAAGCTGACACCTACCTTCTCAATTTGTAGGGCAGTGTTTTCTCTGCACCCTAATAGAAGCATCCCAAATGCTGATGTGATGCTTAAAGGGGAATAGAAGATGTTGTCCTCCTTTGATTTTCCAAACTGTCGGAACATATCTAAAGCAAACTGGGTGTTTGCTTCACTGAGTGACTTCATGGTGACCTTGGTGTGATCTAGAACTCCTGGAAAAGCATTAGATTCATTTTAAAATGACTTTACTGAATGGAGCATCACTTTGTAATAAAATTTTCTTACAGAAAGCGACATATCGGGGTTATAGGATTCTGACAATTAAAGTTTTCCTTCTTTTTCCTTTTCAAGCCTTCTACACGGTCATGTATTAATCTCATAATTAGAAGACTCATGAAATTAGTATTTTCAAAGACTTCGTAAACAGGAAATAGAACATCTTTATCTTTTCTTCATTGCTGGCTGTACTAGGTCTAGGTAGAAAGGCTTTAAACCAAATGCTAAGATGAAGATTTCTGTGGATGCCATCCAGCCAGCTCTCAAGAGGCACCTCTGACTTTTCCTTCAAGGTTCTGTGGCTGCAAGGCACTCCTCCCCTATCCCCATGCTTCTAAGGGTGCATTTGTTCACTTGAAAATAAACAATTGAAAGGATAAATTTGACGAAGTAGGTATTTTAATTTTGCCCTTGTAGAATAAGCAAAATACAGTTAGAATGAAGTAGATGCATGATATAAAACACATTATTGTTAGTATTCTAAAAATAATTCATATTGTTATGTGGAGCATCTGGAAGCGCTCACCTGTGTTCCTGGAGGAAGCAGAGGTTGTCAGGAAGCCTATGAGAGTCTCAGTGTTCTGAATGGTGACATCCTGAATATATATACCGTTCTTCTCACTGCCACTCCCTCTTCATTGCAGTTGGTATTTCAAGTAAGTCAACTTTAGATTTCACAACCAGGACAATACTCACCTTTTTGAGAGTGAAAATTTATTAAAGAAAGACAGGACTTTTTGTTCTGTTAGTGCACTTCCTTTTTAATATGTGGAAACAAATTGCAAATCTACAGTCATTGGCAATCATTGGCTTATTTGAAATGCATGCAGGTGCCTTTCTAAAACCAGAGGGAATCAGTTTAAAATTTCAAGTTCCTCTCATTCCTTTCAGCTCCGTCCCCTTGTACACTTCCCCAATTGTAAAAACAATTCTTTCTGTTCTTGAATTTGTAATTGTCTTTAAGGCATACTTGCAATACCAAACAGCTAAAGGGCTTACATTTGCTATTTTTCAGTTCTGAAAGGTTTTGTTCATCCTAACAATTTCCCTAGTAACTGTTCTGTATAATCAGGAAAATAGCTCTAATTCTACGTCCGAAGAGATACTGAGGCAATGTCTCAGCAAACTGTGGAGAACTGGGTTCTATTGCTTTCCCCTAAATGCTCTGCCTTGGCAGTGATCCTCTTGGTTACCTCCCATGCCCCTTGCAGCCATTCCAGTGTTTTCTTTTGCTTAAGGTCAGTGAGAAGATTATTTACCTTGCTGAGTTAACATGCTAACAATGAGAGGAACAGATGGAAAAAAAAACAGAAGTCATTTTGAATGGCAGCTTTCCAATTTTTCATATAAAAATGAAATTGAAAAATATGGAAGTTGTTAAGATGAAGAAATCGACGGAAGGGTAGGCAGGTGACAAATGACCTAGTGAATTAATATTCACAGGAGTAGCACAGAAGGTACCAACTGGGTACATGGTATACCTGCGTGGCCAGATAATTAAAATAGGACATTGAAGACAGGGAAAGAACAATGGCTAGAAAAGGCAGAAAAGTTTGCTGAGACATCTCCTTCTAACTGAAATTTCATATCCTTTACTAGCATCTCCCCAATCGTCCTACCTCCCCCAGCCTCTGGTAGCCACCATTCTACTCTCTGCTTCCATGAGTTCAACTTTTTTAGATTCCACCTATAAGTGAGATCATGTAATATTTGTCTTTCTGTGCCTAGCTTATTTGACTTAGCATAATATCCTCAGGTTCATCCATATTGTCACGAATGACAGCATTTCCTTCTTTTTTATGGCTGAATAGTATTCCATTGTGTATATAAACCACATTTTCTTTGTCCATAAATCTACTGGTGGACACTTGGGCTGATGCCATATCTTGGCTATCGTGAATAGTGCTGCAATGAACACGGCAGTGCAAATAATTCTCTGAAATACTGACTTCATTTCCTTTGGATGCATGCCCAGATGTGAGATTGCTGAATCATATGGTAGTCCTGTTCTTAATTTTTTGAGGAATTTCCATACTGTTTTCTAAATGGCTATACTAATTTTATTACCACCTACAGGGTACAAGGGTTCCCTTTTTGCCACATCTTCACCAACACTTTTTATCTTTTGACTTTTTGGTAATAGCCATTCTAACAGTTGTGAGATGATATCTCATCATAGTTCTGATTTGCATTTCCCTGATGATTAGTGATAGTGAGCATTTTTCATATATCTGTTGGCCATTTGTATGTCTTCTTTTGAAAAACAGCTATTCAGATCCTTTGCACGTTTTGAAATAGTCTTATTTGTTTTTTGTGTAATTGAATTTTGACAGTTCCTTCTACATTTTGAATAATAACTTCTCATCAGAGATGTGGTTTGCAAACATTTTTCCCACTTGGTAGGTTGTCTTTTCACTCTGTTGACCGTGAATTATTTTCTCCTATGCTGTGTAGAGGCTTTTCGGCTTTATGTAATCATATTTGTAATAAGTTTTGCTTTTGTTGCCTGTGCTTTTAGAATCATAGTTAAATAATCATTGCCAAGACCAATGTCATGAAGCTTTTCCCCTATGTTTTCTTCTATTCGTTTTCTGGTTTCAGTCCTTACATTTAGGTCTTCAATCCATTTTTAGTTAATTTTTGTATATGGTGTGAGATGGTCCAATTTTTTTTTTTTCTGCACATGGTTATCCAGTTTTCCCAACACTGCTTATGGAAGAGCCTATCCTTTTCCCATTGAGTGCTCTTCGCATCTTTTTTGAAAATCAATTGACTGGATATGCATGGATTAATTTCTGGGCTCTCTATTCTGTTTTACTGGTCTATGTATCAGTTTTTATGCCAGTACCATGCTGTTTTAATTTCTACAGCTTTGTAGGTTATTTTGAAGTCAGGTAGTGTGCTGCCTCCAGCTTTGCTTTTTTTCAAGATTGCTTTGGCTATTTGGCATCTTTTGTCATTTCATGCAAATTTTGGAATTTTTTTCTATTTATTTAAAAAAAGGAATTTTGATAGGGATTGGATTTAAATGAATCTGTAGATCTCGTTGGGTAATGCAGACATTTTAACAATATTAATTCTTTCAATTTATGAACATGGGATATTTTTCATTTATCTATCTTTAATTTCTTTCATCTATGTTTTAGTTCTCAGTGTGCAAATATTTCACCTCCTTGGTTAAATTTATTCTTAAGTATTTTATTTTTAGTAGCCATTGTAAGTGGAATTGTTTTCTTGATTTCTTTTTCAGATAGTTCTTCATTAGTACATGGAAACACTAGTAAATTTTGTATGTTGATTTTTTATTCTACAACTTTACAGAATTCATTTATTAGTTCTAACGTATTTGGTGGGGTCTTTAGGGTTTTCTGTATATAAAATCATGCCATTTGCAAACAGAGATTGTTTAACTTCTTCTTTTTTGATTTGAATGTCTTTTATATTTTTATCTTTCCTAATTGCTTTGGCTAGGACTTCCAGTGCTATGTTGAACAGAAGTTGTGAGAGGGGAATTCTTGTCTCATTACTGATTTTAGAAGAAAAGCTTTCAACTTGTCATCATCGAATATGATTTTAGCTTTGGCTTTGTCATAGATGTCCTTTATTATGTTAAGGTATATTCCTAGTTTGTTGAGAAATTTTATTATAAATAGATGTTGAATTTTTCCAAATGCTTTTTCTGCATCTATCAAGATGATCATATGGTTTTTGTCCTCTGTTCTGTTAATGTGCTGTATCATATTTATTAATTTGCGTATATTGAACCATCCTTGCATCCTTGGGATAAATCCCACTTCATCGTGGTAATGATCCTTTTGATGTGCTGCTGAATTCAGTTTGCTAGTACTTTTCTGAGGATTTTTGCATCTATTTTCATCAGGAATATTGGCCTGTAATTTTCCTTTCTTGTAGTGTCCTTGCATGGTTTTGTTATTAGGGTAATGCTAGCCTCCTAAAATAAGTTTGGAGGTATGCCTTCCTCTTCAGTTTTTTTGGAGGAATTTGAAGATTGGTATTATTTCTTCTTTAAGTGTTTAGTAAAATTCATCAACGAAGCCCTCAGATCCTGGGCTTTTCTTTGATGGGAGACTTTTTGTTACTAATTCAATGTTCTTACTTATTGTTGCTATGTTCAGATTTTGTATTTCTTCATGATTCAATCTGAGTAGGTTGTATATTTCTAGAAATTTATCCATTTCTTCTAGATTATTCAATTTATTGGTGTATAATAGCTCATGGTAGTTTCTTATAAACCTGTGTATTTCTGTGTTATCAGTTGGAATGTCTTCTCTTCCATTTCTAAGTTTATTTAATTGAGTCGTATTTTTACTTAGTCTAGCTAAAGGTTCGCTGATTTTGTTCACCTTTTCAAACATCCAACTCTTAGTCTTGTTGATCTTTTCTGTTGCTTTTCTAGTCTCTATTTCATTTATTTCTGCTCTGATCTTTATTATTTCCTTCCTTCTGCTAACTTTAGGCTTAGTTTTTAATTCCCTTTCTACTTCCTTGAGGTATAAGAGCAGGCTATTTGGGATCTTTCTTCTTTTTTAATGTAGTTATTGATTGCTTATTGCTATCAACTTCCCTCTTAGAACTAACTTTTCTGAAAACCATAAATATTGATATGTTGCATCTTCATTTTCACTTGTCTCAAATTTTCAATTTCCCTTTTAATTTCTTCTTAGACCCACAGGTTGTTTAGGAGTATGTTATTTAATTTCCATTTACTTGTGATTTTCTAAAATTTCTCTCTTTATTGAGTTCTAGTTTTATACCTTATGGCCAAAAAAAGATACTTATTATGAATTAAATCTGTTGAGACTTGTATTATGGCCCAAAATACAATGCGCCCTGGGGAATGTTTTGTATGTGCTTGAGAAGAATGTGTATTCTGCTGTTGTAGGATGGAATGTTCTGTTTATGTCTGTTAGGTGCATTTGGTCTAATATGTAGTTTAAGTCCAATTTTTCCTTACTTTCTTTATGGATGATCTGTCTATTGATGAAAGTGGGGTATTGAAGTTCTCTACTGTTGTTTTATTATAGTATACTCTCCCTTTAGATCTATTAATATTTATTTCATATATTTAGGTGCTCCAATATTGGGTACATATATATCTACAATTGTTACATCTTATTGATGAATTGACCCCTTAATTATTATATAATGACTTCCTTTGTGTTGTTTTAAAGTTTTTGACTTAAAGTCTATATTATCTGATAAAACTATAGCTACTCCTGCTATCTTTTGGTTTTCATTTGCATGGAATATTTT